CTGTACAAAACGAGCTGATCTTCATAGCAGGTAAGCCATGCTGACGCTGAGGGCTTGATTTTGTGGTTTGCCAGCACACTCACGCCTTCCCCCCCGCCACCACCCCATCCTTCTCCGACCCGGCCTGTTGACCCTGGGCTCGGGCGGGTTCTGAAACCGACACCTGTGCACGAGATGGAACTCGGGACCGAACCCGAAACCGAAAGCTCGGCAGCCCCAGAACCAACAGAAACGCGAGATTAAAAATACCTTGTTGCCCAAGTGGGCGTCACAAGGCTTAACACAGGCTCAAACTTTGCCTAGTGCTCTTCAATCTTGCGCCATGCGATGGACTGATCAGCAAAAGTGCCGATCTGCACCTCCAACCCAGGTTTTTCTTGTGTTATCCTGGGTTGCTTCCGTGACCATGGAATTAATACATTTAATACACCACAGCAGGATTGGCGAGCCCGCAGTCTGAGGATGTCTGAGGACAAGACTCGCCCACACTGGCTACAACCTAGCCGAAGCATGGCGAAACATGGAGCGCCCGGCATCTTTTCCGGCACTGCCAGACCAAAGCCTTCCCAGTACCCTTTTCGAAGAGTTCCTGGGCGGCTCAACCAACCGACCAATCCTTCAGCCCTTTTCGCATCGAGGAACTCGCAAGGGTGCAAAGCAACTGACAGCAGCTGAACTGTCACCGGATGTCTGTTAGATGTTTCATGGAGACCGAAGCCGGAATGTTGGAAATCTTGATCATCCTGCCAACGGAGGCTCTAAGGGTAAGGGTACCAATCCAGACTTGGAATGCCTAACGCTTCCGTCCTCGAAGTAGATGATGATCTCTTTCGCCGTTTGCCGACAACCTGTCCGAGCTCTTGTCAAGCCATCCTGAGCTACAAACTGTGGTTGTCACCTTCGCCGGACTATCTGTCCGGGATGCAGCTGCCCGCCGTGCACCTGAACTTCAGCTGCCGGATCTCACAAGATGCGTTCGGCGCCGAGTTCACTTGACATGTTGCTGGTTGTTGGCTAGGTTTGTGAGGGGATCCTTTGTCGGCTGTCACTCGGGACCCTTCGGCCAACCTGCTTTCCAACATCGCCAAGTGCAATATTTTTTGGGCTCCCGCATGGCAGCTTGAATCAGAATCCGCTTGGAGAGGTGTCACTTTGAACACTCCAGACTGAAGATAGCTTGTGTACTGTACAGAGGTTCATCAGCTGCAAACTGGTCTGATAATACAGAAAAGCCACCAGGACAAAGAGTGTGTTTATTGAAGCCGTGGCGTTGGAAGGGTGCAGTGCGCTGTGCAACCAGAAATCACGCTTGTGCTGACGGTGTGGGGTGTGGATGCAATGACACGCAGCAACAAAACGGTCAAATCAAGCATGCTGACGGATGGACGAGCAAAAACACACACAAAAAAAACACACACACACACGTACAGAGACACAGAGGACAGAGAGAGAGAGAGAGACAGAGAGACAGAGAGAGGGACAGAGATGACAGAGAGACAGAGAGACAGAGAGAGGGACAGAGANNAGAGAGAGAGAGAGAGAAACCGAGAGACAGACAGGGAGACAAACAGACAAACACTCGTCACACAGCGTTCGTATCACACCACGTCTGTCAAGGGGGCAGCTCAACACTGCAAGTCAACTGCAGAACAACCAAGCAAGATTGGTAGTCGGCGATTTCAGCTGTCTGACCCGTCACATGGCGACCGCTACTTTAACACCGTACTGCAAAATGACAAGTCCAGCGCGGTTTCTTGTGTGGAGGAAGCGTCAGGCTCCAAAGCACTCCCACAAAGGAGGGTGCT